TTTTTTTTCCTAGAGTGGGAAGGTTTTTAGATCATGATGACCAAGTTTTGAGGTTTTCTTGGGAACTTAAGGGTTTTTTGGAATGTGGAACTTCCAGTGCTAAAGCAGGTTAATCTTGGGCAAACCAGGACAGTCGGTCTCCCTACTTATATTCCCTAACAGTAAGTTTTCCTGAAGCAGGGAACATTTCATTCTTTTCTCCTCCAAAGACTTTTCTGTTAGTGATGACTTCACATTTTGTTTCTTCATTTTTATATCCAATCTCTGATCTTTTGAAAAAAAAATATTTGACTCTAAAGCCCAAGAATATTTCTTTTGACCTCCAAAGCCCAAGAATATTTGCTTAGAGAAAAAAAATTGGCTTTTTGGTCAGAACTCCCCACTTTCCTTGAATATGTACTCTATGAGGAAGAAGATACTTTCCTGGAAAGATGTAGAAATATTTATGTAAAGGCCTGGTTTTCCTACCAAGAGCTGATAGTAAACTGATAGATAAGAATTAAAACCAGCAGTCAGGAGTGATGGCACATACCTGTAACTTCAGTGACTCAGGAAGCTAAGACAGGGGAATTGAAAGTTCAAGACCAGTGTCATCAACTTAGCAAGGCCCTAAACAACTTAGCAAGACTCTGTCTCAAAATTTAAAAAAATAAAAAGGGCTAAGTAAGGAATGTGGCTTAGTGGTTAAATGTCTCTGCTTTCAATCTCTGGTACCCAAAATTAAAAAACAAAAAAAATTAAAAATAAATAAATTAATTAATAATAAGACCCAAAGTCTAATTCAGTCTTCAGAAACAGTAAGGCAGATTTGATATATGATTTGGAGGAGCTTATTCATAAATTCTGTGTGTTCCTTTCTATCTCCATTCATAATTCCACATTCTGCTGCGGCCTGGTCAATATAAAGATTAAATGACCTAAGGTTACTCAAGCTACAATTAATTGTAAATGCTTATAAATTTACTGTGAAGTCACCCCTGTTTCTTTTGGGATTGTTATAATATTTCATCTCTGTACAGGGTCTGCACACACTGTTCTCGGCAGCTACTGGTCCCAGCAGCTGGGGAAGCAAGAAATGCGTGGTAAGACATCTCTTTGTCTAACTTTAAGCTAGTGTTCCTTCACATATGCACTATCCCCTTGAAAATGTACTGAGGTGTTAAGGCTCTTCCATGTGAAATATCCCTAAATATTCTTAAATATCCACCACCTCAAACATCCTCCACCTCTGCTTCCCCCAATACACAAATACTCCTGATACAATAAATGCCCAATAAGTTTTTGTTGAATAGAATTAAATTGCTGTATAACTTTGGCTCAGAGAAGTTATTCATAATGTGATAGATTGAGACTGGATGATGACTAAGGTTAACTTACATCTTATTGTTAGTCACAGGATTGATCGAAATTGCTCTTGAACCAAATCCCCTGGTGATGATATATTGCTCAGGGCTAAAGCCAATGGAGGCTGCATGTTCTGATCATCAAAGCAGGACTCTAACCCCAAAGGATGCAGGTCTGACTTAGTGGGAGGATTAGGCCTCTGTGATCCTAGTGGATAGCAAGGTAGCTGTTCTCTTTCCTTGGTGAGCCTAATTATTCTCCTAAGCACTGAGCCCCTGGAAGGCTAAGGCCATGCTCTTTTGTCTGCCATGGCACATGTGGTTGCTTGAATATGTTATGACTGAATGAACTCCCTCTGTCTTCTTTAGAATGAGAAGATGGGGCCTTCTCAGGAGGGCCAAGACCACCCCTCTTCATCCTCTTAGACTGCTGGTCCATGCCTCTTGCTTTTCACACATCCTTGCTTACACCTAGAGAAAGCTAAGTGTTGAGTGTAGCTGGGGCATTACCGGAAGCACTAGAGGAAGTGGTGCAGGAAAAGGCCCAGGAAGGGAAGAGGCATGGTTGTATGTTTTGTACATCAAATTATGTTTATGTCCCTCTCAATCTTCAAGAGAAGGGAGGGGAGGTGGACAATGCCATGAATAGATGAAGGATTTTTTTTTTTAAATTCTTTAGTTGTAGATGGACACGATACTTTATTCTATTTATTTATTTTTATATGGTGCTGAGGATTGAACCCAGTGCCTCGTATGTGCTAGGCAATCGCTCTACCACTGAGCCACAACCCCAACCCCTAGATGAAGAAATTTATATTTTAAAGTGACTTGGGAGGACTCTGGGGTTTATTATTTTCTGTATAAATTTTTATTTTTTTATATATTTTTTGGTACCAGGGATTGAACCCAGGGCATTTAACCATTGTGTCACATTCCCAGCCTTTTTATATTTTATTTAGAGACAGGGTCTCACTGAGTTGCTTAGGGCCTTGCTAAATTGCTGAAGCTGGCTTCAAACTCATGAGCCTCCTGCCTCAGCCTCCTGAGTCACTGGGATTATATGCATGTGCCACCAAGTCTTCGACTCCAGGGTTTATAATAAGAGGTCTTTCGTTATCTTCTGTTAATACAGAGTGTGAAAATGTCCATAATTTGTGACTCATTTTATTTTATTTTTTAGCATTTCAGTGTTCCCCTCGAGGAGGAGAACTGTTCATTTCACTACGACCTGAAGGAAGAATTGACATTAAGGGTGGTGCTGCCCTTGTCCTGGAGGGCACGCTGACAGCCTAGATACTTGTGCTGTGATGCTGCTATCTATAACAACAAACCATTGTTTCCATGTAAGGACATAGAACGGCTGCCTTTAGCAAATTAGCATGGTAGTCCACTTAATTAATCCTCATGTTAGGAAGATAAGACATGTTGATGGAGATTTAGTAATGCTTCCAGACTAATTTTTATTAAACTTATGGAGTTTGAACTAAGTGTATTTGAAATGTAAATAATGAGTAGCAAAAAATAATGTCACTTATTTTGATTATATCTACACATCAAAGAATGAGAAATACATTTAGTAGAAGTGAAATTAAACCAATTTAAACTTAAACTTAAACTTAAATTTAAACTTAGGTGTGAGTACCTTTTGCAGCCATTTTAAAGGCTCAATAATTATGTGGAGTTAGAAAACTATTTCATGGTAGAACACTAAGAAAAAGTACAGTAGGCTCTAAAATGTTTGCAATGTTATGCTGTGAATATGGAGAATATGAATTTATGTGGACAAGCATGGGTTGTGAAGACAGCAAAGTGAAAAATAGCTCATGTGTTGGGATAAGAATGGAAGTAACTCTAATGTATATAAAAATCGTTTCCTTCATTGCTGCCCTCAAGTACAATAATTAAAAATTAGGACATAACCAAAAATTAAAACAAAAAAATGTATATTCGGCTACTTCCTGTCATTGTAAAATTACACATTAAAAGTAATGAAATCTTTTAATTTTTCCTTTTTTTTTTTTCTGGTACTAGGGATTGAACTCATTTGGGTCCTACCACTAACCTACATCCCCAACCCTTTTTGATTTTTGACTTTGAAGCAAAGTCTCACTAAGTTGCCAAGGCAGGCTTCAAACTTGTGGTTTTCCTGCCACAGCCTCCCAAATGGCTGGGATTATAGGCATGTGCCACAGTGCTTGGCTAATCTTTTTTGATATGTGGCCTTAGAGTGATAACTTAAAAGGGATTCTTCTCTTAATAAAATGTTTTAACATAACTTCATATTCAGTTAAATCTATAATATTGAATACCTAGAGTTGATTTTGGGATGGGGAATGTTTTGAATTGTTTCAAGTGTTTAACACTGATGCCAATTCTTAGCCATTTCAAGAACCACAGGCTGATTAGTTATGTCCCTGTAATGTCCCTAGTTTTTC